ATGGCCTTGCTTTGAGCAGGGGGTTGGACTAGATGTGACCTCCTGAGGTCCCTTCAGCCCTCATTTTCTATGACGTTATGTCTACTTTCCTGTAACCACTCAGACATGTTGCCATTTCCTTGCTTAGCTGGGACACAGCCACCTTCCTCATAGACCAGCATAAAGCAAAGCACCTCAGTGTCTATCGCGCTGCAAACCACTAGCTTCGTTCTGTGTGCACATCCCGTAGTGGCCGGGGGCAAGATGTGATAATGGTTTAGATTTTCCCAGAGTGCATTGGTGCAAACACAGGCCACAAGGTGGCTGCAGAAGCACAGACTGGGCTGCCACGTGGCAAAGACTTTTTTGGAAGCACGAGTCAACCGCTTTTGCTGTAATCGGATCAGATGAGAATGGATCAATTAACTCATTTGTGCCTGGGCATACTTGTATTAGTTACAAGGTTGAGCTAGTGTGGTGAGTGACAAATTCTGCTCCAGTGGTCATGGTTTTTGTCTGGAGACATGAGAGACCTAGGCTCAGGGCCCCAGGCTGGGAAAGACTCCCTGCAGGACTTTTGGAAAATCATTTAGCTTCCCTGTGCTCCAGTTTTTCCTGGGTACAATAGGGATTAAACCACTTTGCTACCTCCCATGGAAGTGGACGGTAGAGAATGGGCCTAAGTAAGTACATAAGAGAAGAGGTTACATGAAACTCAGGGCCTGATTTTCATTTTCTCTTCACTCCATTCTTCCTGTGAAAAGGGATCTTATCTTTCCACCCACAAAAAGGCCCTTTTATGAGACCAGAATGAGGTCTGTGCTTTCAAGGGAGAAGAATTAAAGAGAAACTTGCACACCACAACCCTTTTATTATGAAGGAAATATAATTTACCAACAATTTGCTTTTAATTAAAAAATGGCACGGATTTCTGTGGCCACTATGCATCTGGCAACGGGGCGCCTCCAGGACAGCATGCTTGCCTGTATCCCCTCTTATTCCTCATCACGGCAGCAGACCATGGTCTGACGGTAGCAAGTCCCAATCTGCTCCTCACCCGCCTCACAGTCGTCATATCGGCACGTGCCACCTTTCTGGAGGCAGTGGTTGACATACCGGGTCGCACGCTGGCCGTTGGCTGCACAAAGCAGAGAAGCGAGTGAGCAAATGCACGATCTCTGTGACACCACTGCCAGACCCGGGCAAGGGACAAGAGTCAATGGATGATGGGAAATGACAAAAGCATATGTTTTAGAACAAATGGAGAGAAAAGGAGAGGTTACCAGCTCAATGCATCGCCCATTTGAACTCTTCCCACTGCCCTCGTGTGGCTTTGGAGCTGGCCATAAGTGAAATACTTCATACAAAAATCTGGCTTTCTAATTTTAAAAGGCAGATTATTTCAGATCCTAAATTAGCATCAGACTATACAGGAAGACTTATACGAGAGGTATATGGTAACCGTGGAGGTTAACATCAGCAGAGTAGCCACAGCTGAAGGTTCATTATGTGCCTAAATGTTTTGCTGGTCTGGGGCCCAAGTTTGGAATAAATTCAAGGACAAGCTCAGAGTTGTGCTTGGATAAACCCATTCCTTTCCTTCCCTTCGCATCCCCTTCCCTTCCCTTCCCTTCCCTTTCCTTTCTCTTCTCTTCCCTTCCCTCCCCTCCTTCCCTCCCTTGTTCTCCAAAGGCTTTGGGAGGGAAATGTGAAGATGGGCTGAAACCACGAAACATGAGCAACCTTGACTCAGAACCAGACAGAGCACTAAATGAAGTCCTGGCCTCATTTGGCTTCCACAGAAGCTTTGTCATTGACTCCACCGGGACAAGGATTGTCCCCCAGGATTTTCTCTGCGAGTGTCTGTTGTCATCTCAAATACAAAGTGAAGATCAGGGTGACTGGCCTCCTGAGAAAGTTGATCTCTTTTCCCTGCCCTCTACAGACAGACAGACAGACAGACAGACAGACAGACACACACACACACACACACACACACACACACACACACACACACTTAAAATATTTGGAAAACAAGACAGCTGAGTTTGTCCTGGCTGTTAGAGTCACGTCTTACCAGTAGTGGCCAGGAAGACCCCAAAGAGAAGAACCAGAAGAAGGTAGAAGAACTTCATCATTTCAAGTTCAACGGGGATCACAGAGTATGACTGGAGAGAGGAGACACAAAGACCAAACCATTACTCAGATGCCATCATGAGTAGAAAACATGGCCTGGAGGGGGTGTGCGGAGACAGACAGACACACAAAAAGAAGTCTATTAGGAGATCCACTGTGGGTCTGGTAAGCCATAAGCTCCTCAAATACACCCATTTGGCTACTAATGTGATGTTCCAGATAACATTCAATGATGGCCGTCATCTAATATCTTTATGGCGTCCCTTTTTTTTATGAACCTGAACACCTCCCCATCTCCATGCTACAGAGCCACCATGGCTCTCACAGGCCAAGCCTGAGCACTCCCTAGGACTTACTGCAATTTATCCCCATCCGCTTGCCTTCAGCCTGCCCTACTCTTTGTCACCAAGCTCCATCTTAAAAGCAGTTTGATATTTTTTGCCGTCCCTTATTGGCCCCATCATAAAGGAAGGGTCTATTGTAATCTCCCGGGGTCAGATGTGCCTAGCATATATATGGATGCTGTAAAATAGTACTGAGAGAGGAACCTGATCAAAAGGATTTAAGTGAATTAAGCCTGAATTACCTGGCACTTACAGCAAAATCCCCTTAAAGGCAGCTTTAAATCAGTAGTTAGCGACAGACTGTCTCCTAGTTGAAGATCAGCTGTTACCTCTGAATCACTGTAGGGAAGAGATGCAAAACAGACTGATCCGGAGCAACTCAACACGGAAGGGCAAATTGCCCCGGGATTTATATTTTCCTTCCAAAATGCATGGGGATCAGGGCAGAGGACTTTGGTCCTGTGAGCTCCATTTACCTGCTGCTTCCTGCCCAGGACCGCTCCGAGGAGTGGCAGACCGTGCCAACCTCGCATCTAGAATCTCATTGTGACAGAGAAGAATGCGTTCCTCTCCGGATTGGCTGAAGGGAGTCACGTGACAAGCCCACCTACCCATTGCTCTGCATCACCGAATTCTGGAGCACTAATGACCAATCAGATTGCATGTTGCAGTGGGCTGGGTACAACTGAATTCTGGGCTATTCCTCTGTGCCAGAAGCTGCGTGGCTGCCAGTTTTGGTGCATATGCAGTATTTAATTCTGTTCCGGGGCAGTGGGGGTGCACAAGCATCCAAACAGCTATTGAGTCCGTGCAGGGGGCTGCATGCTCGCTGAGCAAGTACTGGCATCCTCTGTGTATTGCATGGGCTCTCAAACTGTAGCCAAGAAGCCCATGACTAATGGGACACCAGAAGAGGATTGTGCCCATGTTTTAGCGCAATAGCCAGCCAGTTAGGGTGCTTCAGAAATGAGACTCAGGTCACCCAAAGGAGGTTTGAAACCACGTCTCTTCAACTTCCTAATATAGTGCTCTGACCACCTGGCTATAGGTCAGGCATTATGCAAGCTCTTTTCCTGCATCCCCTTTGAAGCTGGCCCCATGGGCAGCAAAGGAGCAGGGATATGTGGATAATGCAGGATATGTGGATGCAGGAAGCAAGCAAAGTAGAGATGCAAGGCTCAAGGAGATGGCTGCTCCTCGGGAATAGCCTGAACCTTTAGCTCCCACCTGAGCAAGGCTTCCCTCCTGCTCTCCAGCCAGGTTGTCCAGTGAATATTAAACACAAGGTGCAATGGCTTGGCATGAAGCACTTTACAGCACGGGCTAGTCCTCGTGGAACGGCAAAAGAGTTATCTTGGATGGCAACACTTTTCTTTAGCTTGGGATCATCGGTTATAATGGAATAAAAGCACATAGTAAAAAAACCCCAGGAAGCCTGCAGCTCCACCCACAAGGTTTTAAAACATGACAACTGAGGTTGGCTTCCTTCATTTTTGGACACATATTTGGAGACAACTCAAAGGGACCTGGGTTTTGGACAGTGAACATACTACACCTTCTGAATGGCAGGCTCCTAAGAAATGGAAGGTAGCAGATAGGTTCTGTTGTCCCAGAGGGACCCTGCTGCTTGGCCATGTGTCATTACTTTGTCAACTGTAAAATACAATGGCATTTTATCTTCAGAGTCAGTGAACAGCACTTGGCATCCTCTTTGCAGGACATTGGGTGCCTGCATTGACAACTTGCACTGAATAAGTGACAAGGAAGAAGACCAAGCACAGGTTAAAGCCCACTAGGATTTATGAGCCTGTGCATAAGGTGACAGCACCTGGAGTCATATGATTAAGTCAGAGTCTCAGCTGTCATTTAAAGAAAGAAGTTGTCTGCCATCTGGCTTGAAGCTGCATCTGGCTTGCAACCAATGTACATCAGAGCATAGGACTGGCAGAGGCCTTGCAGGCTGTTGCACACAGTCCCCCCTGTTACAGGACATCTGCAAAGGGCCCAAAAGACTGTCTGGCCCCTCACACACTACAACCCTATGGAACATGTATCAACAGCCCTTGGACATATGAACAGTTCTCAGTGGGGTGTTAACTCCAAAACACGTTGCTTTGGGTGGACTTGATAAGCCCAGCCCAGCCAGAGATCTGTGTGCAAATGGCAAAGCTAGATGTTGGGCCCCGACACCCCTGTTGCTGGGATATGCAGTGGGGGAAGAGTCCTTTATTACCCTCCCTGTCTCTTTGGGCCGAATGTGAACTCCAGGCTGCTGCTCTGCACTTTTTTGGGAGGGTAAAGGAACCAATTCAACATGAGTGGTCTTAATAAAAGAGGCCTCTGAGCGCCTTAATCTGCCCCCAGAGAAGACGGAAGATCATGAATGGAGTAGACTTAACTCCATGTCAGATAAACTGCAACACAGCCTGTGATTATGTAATACACTGCGATGGCCACAGGGATATAAAAGCAATCTTTCATCTCAACAAAGCCTGACAGTCCAGATAGCCCAGCTGACTTTTGCTGTTAGGTCTCATCCGTGCTAGGAAAATTTTGCTGGTAGAGCGCTACACTGGAATAGTGGTATGCCGAGTGGAGCCAGTTTATACCAACACTAATTTCAGTCTGTTAGCGTAGCCTATACCAGTTCCATGAGCAAAGCAAGCTATAGCAGCTAAAGGACTTTTTGCCAGTATCACTGCATCTATATTAGGGCTTTTTGCTGGCATCTATGTAAATGAATCATTCTCCAAAGGGGCATTATTAAACTGGTCATGTTGGAGTGATGTTTTAGCTGAGACGGTCCAGGAAATACATAAGAACTAAGCAAGGATGTTTTGGGGGTGATCTGTTTTATTGGACCATCTGCATTGCACCTCTGGTATTATGAAACTGGTTAACATGTCTAGTTTAAAATGGGCTTTACAGACTGGAGCTTTTTCCTTCATAGGAGGAATTCCTTATCAAAGTCCTTGAATAAACTCCACTGGCATGAGATGAATAAGGACTGACCCACAAGTGCTGTGTCAGTGTTGGGGACCGTATCCCCTTCTGTGGTTGGGCTCCAGCCTAATTTACCAAGTGGAATCTCTGATGTTCTTGAAATGGTTTGGGGGGGCTGGAACGCATGCATAGCTGCTAATGAAGAGGATGGCAAATGTTGGTGGTGTGGTACCTGCTCACAAGACTGGGTATTGTGTCCAAGCTCCATGGCCTTATGGGTCTACCTGTCTCTATATGGCTCAAAGTGCCTTGGGTGACCTAATCTTTTGAGAGGTCAGCTTCCTATAGCTCCTGCATGGAAACCCCCCCCAAAAAACAGCTACCTTGCCATCCGCCTTTACCATGAGCAGATTTAGGTTGGACATGAGAAATAACTTCTTCACAGCAAGGGTTGCCAGAATTTGGAACGGGCTTCCAGGGGAGGTGGTGCTCTCCCCTACCTTGGGGGTCTTCAGAAGGAGACTAGACAAGCACCTGGTTGGGGTTGTCTGACCCCAGCGCTCTTTCCTGTCCAGGGCAGGGGTCAGACTTAATGACCTACTGAGGTCCCTTCCAACCCGAGCATCTATGAATCCCTCTTTAAAACTCATGTTTGCCTTGAGGTCTTAAAAAAGCATCTGGGAGTGGCTATGCTGCTGATGTACTGAGACCATCCCACCCTTGAGACAATACAGTGTCGTGGTTTCTTGTGTCTGGCTGTTGACACTTGTCTGATAGTTAGATTGTCAGCTCTCTGCAACACAGACCATCGTTATATTTGTATATCAGAGTCCTAAATCTATGACTGAGGTACCTTGGCTGCACTGCCGTATAAATAATGACTATGGATGGCACAATGTGGTTATAGTTTAGCTAGCCCTCTCACTGTTTTTCCTGGGGGTTGAGCATGGCATGAGCAAAAGAAGAGCCTTTTCATCAGGACAGCATTGCATCCTGATGGCTAGAGAACAGCTTGATCTTTGCAAATTCTACTGCCATCCTTTATAAATCCTGGAATAAACAATGGCACCAAGAGATTAGGGATTTTGCTTCTGTTGCTGACTGGCTGGGCAAATGGCTCAGTCAGAAGCTGAGTCTTTGACTCCCTCAGCTGGTCACCTTATGCCAGGGCGAGCCAAGGATTCTTGCTGGATGACTCCAATTTCTGACACACAACCCACATAGTGAGTTATGATGAGAACTAAGGAGTTTGTGCTGTGGCTTCCTCTGGGTCAGACACTGCAAAACAAAAGTCCTTTTGCAGCTCTAACCCTTGACTTCCCTATGGCTAGGAAAAGACCTAACCCTTGTTAGATCCACCCAAAGTCCTTTTGCAGATCTAACCTTTGACTTCCTTACGGCTAGGAAAAGATGTGACAGCTGTTCCTGGACAAGCTGTACCCGTGTTTGTCCCAGACCAACACTGTCCCAGGGCTGGTACATACACGTTGCCCTTCTAATCAAAGTTCATCCAGTGGTTGAATTCAATGCTGTTTTTCTGCCATTGAGTCAACGATGCAACCCCAGGATGACTGTACAGACATACTCTGCACCATCCTGGGATAAACTGTTGCTACCTCTTCTCCAGGAAACCTTTTTTGGATTTATCCAAGGGCAATGGACATGGACACCTGTATGATTGCACTTTGTCCCAGAATAAAATGATTTATTCCAAGAAAAATATAATTTGCAGCCTATGTAATTCAGTTTCCCCTTTATGAAAGGAGGATAATAGCAGTTTTTTATCTCAACGTGCCCTGATAAGAATAACTGTGTTTAAAAAATGGTGCTCAGATACTTTATTAATGGGGCCTTTGTGAATATCTGTGATAGGCAGAATGATTTAGGATCCTTCTTAAAGCAAATGGCTGGAGTGTCCAGTGTTGCAACAGGGTGTCTGTAGAGAAATGAAGGAGAGAAAAATGGAGGGCAGTCATTACTCAAGAGATTCTTATAGCAGCTTCATTTAGCATGTATTTGTTTTTAATGAAGGAAGAAGAGTGGAGATTGCTCTGCAACATGCCAGGCCAGCTCACCAGCAGTCAGCCCTTCTCTCTCTCTCTGTAGCATTTCCTGGTCTGGTGGTAGTAGGTTGAAATCTCAATTTCATTAAAATAGCAACTGCCGCATCAGCAGAGCCCATCTTCAAATCTGCAGCATGCAGCACTTAGACTCAAGCCACTGCCTGCACACAGAAGGGAAGGGAGGAACTGGTTCGACCATCATTTCTCTCTTTTTGTCCTCTTCAAATACCTGTGATCACATCTTTATTATATCAAACATGTAAACTAGGTAATCAGCACCTTAGTAAATTGTTGCTTCGGAGAGGGTTTTCCAGCACAAGGACACAGCGAGGTCATATGTCATGAGTACAGGGGAGTGATTTAATCCTGGTAGAAATTCATAACCTTTAAACCATCTCTGAGGAGGAGCAGCCATTACTGAAAAAAAAAAGCTACATCTAGCAATCAAAGATGGTATATCTATCATTCTTCCATCCAGCTGGAAGGATGGACCT